TCCCACTTTCTAGAAATTTATGAAGTAAAAAGCTGGTTCTTTCAATCTAACCTATTAAAGTGTGTTGGTTGCATGAAATTGTGATATGACTTTTTAAAATTAAAATAAATGTGTAATATCAAGAAAATATTCAATTTATAGAAAAACTACCCTCACTCATTTATTTAAAAGAGATTGGGACTTTCTTAAGGCATGTCAAATTTTATCATAAATATATTAAGAACTTCTCTAAAATTTTTAAATAACTGTGTCACTTATTAGAGAAGGACTAGCCTTTAATTTTGATAGTGAATACCTAATAGCTTTAAAGTTTAAAGAAAAAACAAATCACAGCATCCATGATAGTTTTAATTGGCTGGCAATATCCATTTGAACATATGTGTTATACTAGTGATTTTTACTGAAGGAGTTAATTTAGGCCAGAGAAATTACAAAATTTTTTATATTATTGATATATTAAGCTAGTAAAACTCTTAATGAAGCTCAAATCAACTATAATACCACTAAAAATATATTTAATAGCAATATTATTGACATTTTACAATGGCAATTTTATTCACATTTTACAAATTTTGATCATATTTGATCAATACCAAAGTCAAAGCTTATACAGACTACTCAGCTATAAAGTATTTAATAAGTAAAAAGGTTGTCAATGCCTACTTAATCTGATGGATGATTCATTGAAAGAATTTGATATTGAGATTGTGGATATAAAAGGTAATAAAAATCAAGTATCTAATCACTGGTATATATTTGAGCGAGAAAATTTTGAGGATTTGTTGGATGAAATTAATAAGAATTTATGATTAACTTCTTTAGATCACTAAACAAAATATTTATTGGCATGCAAACATATATAGCTAATTACATTTTTAGTAGAATAATAAATTTTTAAATTTGATATATCTAAACAAAGATATTTGTTTCAGATGTCAAATTCTATTTTTGAGATGAATCTTAAATATTTAAGAGATGAATAGATCAAAATATTAGAAATTGTGTGCCCCTGAAAGAAGTATAAAATGTCATTAGATAGCCATGATTTAGCTTTTGAAAGATATTCTGAAGGTTTTTGAACTGCTTATAAGAGGATCTTATAATCAAGATTCTATTGGTTTCACCTCCTTAAAGATGTTAGTGAATATATTAAGCAAGCTGATAAATTTTAATGGGTGGGAAAAATTTATATGAGACATGAAATGCCCGGGAAATGTATTTTGGAAGTCAAAATTCTTATGGGACATTTTATATCATCTTTAAGAAATTAGTATATTTTGATTGCAATAGAATATATCTCAAAGTGGATTGTGTTAGTGACTCTACCAAGATATGATTCATAAGGTGCTTAAAAATTCTTAAAAAAAATATTTTTAACATGTTTGAAACACCCAGTGCTATTATTTAGTGATGGAGAGTCTCTTTTGTAATAATATAATTTAGATATTAATTGCAAAATTTGGTATAAACGTAGACTTTCTACTTCATATCACTCTCAAACTACAAGAAATTTTAAATAAGGAGACTAAGAAAATTTTAAAAAAATTTGATAGCCTTATGAAAGAGAATTGTCCCCTTTGGTTTAATGATGTATAGTGGGCTTAATTCAATGATCGGAAGACGGGAAGACATAAACCCGAACGCCTATATTTAGTGGTGTCACACCTAAATCTAATGCCATGATTGTATAATATTAGTGTCGCCATGCCTCCCACCAACTTAAAGCAATTTTGGTGGGTTTGCCTATGATTTCAATGTGGGAAAGCATACAAGTGTTAGATTTCTGTTTAGGAGGCTACCTGACAACATTTAGGAAGAGACTGGCACCACACTAGAAGAGGAAAGTGACTTGTGGAGATTTCTAGTTTGAGTGTGTGTGTGTGTGTGTGTGTGTGTGTGTGTGTGTGTGTGTGTGTGTGTGTGTGTGTGTGTGTGTGTGTGTGTGTGTGTGTGTGTGTGTGTGTGTGTGTGTGTGTGTGTGTGTGTGTGTGTGTGTGTGTGTGTGTGTGTGTGTGTGTGTGTGTGTGTGTGTGTGTGTGTGTGTGTGTGTGTGTGTGTGTGTGGAATGTTTATTTTGTGTGAGAGTGAGTGAGGGTGTTATTATATCAAGCAAAAGGGGAGATTTTAAGGGAGATCAAATTATGGGAGCAGGCCAGATTTCATTAACTTGATTTTTTAATTCTTTTTACTTTGTTAACTTGGTTTCAATTTTTTAAAGCAATTTAGATTTTTATTTCGAATCATGATTATTAACACTTAATCTCTTCACTTCTTTGGATTTATTTCTTTAAAATCTAGGAAAATTCATATTAGATTTTTAAACTTATGAATGAAGAAGTTAATATTTCAACCTTTCAAATTTAATTTATATTTAAACTAGCCATTTAGGTCTTTAAAATTAGTTGAAATTTAAGACTGCCTAAAGAATACTAGAAGAACAACTAGGTTAAATCATAAGAGTTTAGTGGAATATGAATATTGTCTATAGACTCTTCCAATCTTTATGTGGAATGTGAATGCCTATGAATTCTTATAGGTATAGGGGAACCTAACTATAATATAGAATTCTAATGTTTTTTATACCTCGGAAGAGAGTAAGATGTAACAAACCTTGATTGACAACAAAAAGAAAAATTACTTGGAGGAACATCAATTTTACTAAGCTAATTCAAGGGATACTTTCACAATATTAGAAAACACTTCTAATTTATTCTAGATTTTCATTTTAAAATTAGCATTTTAGAATCTTTATATTTTTAAAATATATTTAACCTTTTAAACTGAGCTTAGAATTAGTAATCTAATCGGTTAAATATTTGAGGATTTTACTCGCTCTTCATGGGATCGATTTAAGGACTCATATTCCATCAAATCCTTGATCAACATTTATATTTGCATGCTAACATGTGTTTCATAGCTACACAAATCATTTTGTTGTCAAATGATACAACAAAGTATCAGTTACGACCAGAACCCTCTAATCGGATGGTTACCACCAAATGACATAATTATATTGCAATCATGATTGTAGCATGTTTGTTTCACAATTGCTTTATATCCTTTGATTTGTGAAGCTTAATTATACAAGTGGTTGGCATAAGCCTTATGTTAGGTAAGATCTACTTAAATTTGTCTTCTCAGATAAACATCCACTCTTGATCTACAAGGGTCCTTGTACAACACAACTCATGATTATTGATGAGGATTCTTCAATCAGGTTGATTCAAAAATGTCCTCCATCTAAGAACATCAGGGAGCATGCCGACCCAAGATAACGAAACTAGGGTTGTAAATGAACCGAGCTTGATTGAGCCTAGTTATTGTTCATGTTCGACTCGTTTGATGTTTAATATGTTTGAAATTGTTAAGCTCATATTCAAAATTGTTCGTGAACAGTATGTTCCTGTTTAAATTGAATTGAACTCAATTTATTCATTTTAAGATCAGGTTCGGCTCAAAATGAACTTTTATAAATTGTAGATTAACACAAATCACATTCCCTTCTCATTTAAAGAAAGCAAAATTATTAAATCTCCATCCGCTAATTCAATATTAGGCAACAAGATAGGAGAAGATAAACACTAGTAAGAAGTTAACATTAGGCCCCAAGATATATGATGATTGAAGAATAGAGATATGAACAAAACCTAAATGTAGTTCTCCTTAGAAGAAGTTAATAGTAGGCAGCAAGATAGAAGAAGATAAAGCCTAGTATGCCTATAATCTCATAACTCATAAAGCTGATTATAAAAAAATGACTTAGAAGAAGAAAAATCAGAGAATCCCTAGTAAGACTTTCACTCCTTTTAGCTTTCACATCTGTGATGGGAAGAAATGAGGCACTTTGGTTGTTGCACAAAGAAACGACTGACGAGAGCTTGGCTTTCACCCCTCAGCCCTCAGGAATTAATGCAAACAAAACAAAAGGTGAGCTTTCAAAAATGGAAAAGAAAGAAAGGAGCTCCCACCCCTCACCATCAGCCCTCGGGATAGAAATGAAAACAAAAAGAATGGAGGTGCATGAAATGTTAAGGTTTTTTGCTTAGATTTCTATAGTGAGTATGTTAATAAGTTTTAGGGTGTTAGATAAGATCAAAGGGCTGAAATTAATTTCAAGTAATTTAGAATAAAATACTCAATTTAAAAGGATTTAATATATTTTAAATTTTAAGTTTTCCTATTAAATATATCATAAAATTTTAATATAAAAATATTATAATTATGCTATTTTTATTTATTTATTTATTTCAAGCCAAAATGAGTAGAACACGGTCAAACAAATGTTTTTTTTTTTGTTCGACTTGTTTATAAATCAAGCTCAAAAAATTTATTTGTAT